TTGACCCTTTTCCTCTTGGATAGATCTGAGGGGAAAAGAGGTTCCTTTCTTCTTTTTTTCCATCTGTCCCTCTACATTTAGAACTTGGCCAGAGTCCAAGAATGTAGAGAGAAAGAGAGAAAAGAGTTTTTTTGTTTTTGTTTGGCTAACATTTCTTTAGGGGATGCTCATCGATCTATCCAGCCCACGTAGTTTTTTTCTTTTCTGGCTGGCTGCATTTTAAATTTTACAAGGTGGTGGACTCAAGAGACTTTCTTACACAGACACAGAGCACATAAATACAAAGAGAAAGCACAGGTAGTGATAACTTTTCGTGGTCTAGGTTATATTGTGACCAGGCTCTGTTACAGCTTAGTAGTCTTGTGTAATGATGCCTGTAAGCCTAAGGAAATCCTCCCTATAGCCACATTCATTTCTTGAGTGGCATCCCACTGGAAAGATGAAGGAAAAAAAATGAGTTCAGAAAGAACTCCCCTCAAAATTCCCAGAGCATCCTCTGTCTAGAGAAAATGTGCCAGGCTGCAAGGGCCCTGGGTGCTAGGATCCAGACAATCTAGGTAAGCCTTCCTAGATGCTTGAAGGACCTCCCAGCTAAGAGAAGACAAAAAGATAGGCTTACCTTTGGGTTAGAGGGAATCGGAATCAGACTCTGCCCATGAAGGGATGCCAAAAATTGTTGCAGTTTCACGATTTGTTGTGGCAGCACCACCTCAAAGAATTCAGACTCAGACCATTTACAGACAGGCATTTCTTGAGATTCATGCCTCTCATGAAGTGGGCCAAGTTCCTAGACAACTAGCAACTTAGTAAGACAACACAGACAAATGTATAGGGTGATGATGCCGATTACAGAATAGAAATTTTGAATATTAAAAAGGCAGGAAGGGTTTGTTAAAGCATTAGGTAATGGGGGAGGGGTCCCTTCTATGGTCTGGTGGTCAAATATCCTCGTCGTGCTGCTTTCTGATTAGCTAGCTATTCTGCTCCTGTCTGGGCAGGATGGATAGTTATGTATTGTGGTCCTGCCTTGGGCTAGATGGATGACATGCTTGTGGTCGAGTACACGGACATACCTGTACAAACATGAGAATTGGATCTGTGGACAGAGGCTAACTAGAGAAACTGGCTATGTTGAGTCTGGGAGCAGCTTTATTTGGATTCCATCACAAACAAGCAGGCGCTGATATTGGCAGAAGTGATTTCAACACCAAGGAGTGAAAGCACTACAAAAGAAAAGAATATTGTGGACAGATGATGGCCACTTCCACACTAGGTCCCATGGCTTCCCTCCTCTCTTATGTTGCCACAGAACTTGGATACCCCTGACCTGACAACCAGGAATACAAGTCCTTTCTGGGGGCCCACACAGAGCTTGGAGGGAATACCAACAAGACCTCTTGGGTACTGTAAACTAGTGGCATCAAACTCAAATTGAAACAAAGTCCACTAATCCATACATAAGGATCCCTGCAGGCTGCATACTGACTTAGAAAACGACATATTCACAATATCTATATTTTACTGTATTTTAATTTATTTTCTTAATATTTCTCAATTACATTTTAATAGGATTTCGGCTGCACTTCAGTGTTGTCCGCAGCTTTGCAAGCTGTGTGTTTGACACCTTTGCTGTAAACCATCTGTTCCTCCTACTAGGGCATGGATGCAGTAAAGCCCCAGAGATCTTTCTTGAGATCATCATTACTAGGGAAAAGTATCAGACTCCTTAATCACCCTCACATGGAAGCAAAGAATTCTGTGCCTAGTATTCCGTGACACCCTTGACAGGGGTAGTCTGGTTTATAGCCTAACAAAGCAATGCCACACCTACTCCTCAGGCTAGCACTGGAGAGTCTAAGTGTCATAAATTAATAGGTCTGAGGAAGTGTTTTTTCTCACCACCTTTACTTTATGAAGTGGTGTAAATTGTCCAGGCCACCCCTTAGTAAGCCAGCATTTCCACTGGCCTTGTTTGTGCCCAAGTGCCCTGAAGTACATTTAGTTCTAGTCATGGATCTGTCCAACTACACGCATTTAAATTTCCCTTTATTTTCTTTGATTTTGACAGATGTTCCAGGACTTGAGAGATAAGATTGTAAATATTTAGACACTACACAGTAGGAAATTTGTGAGCATGTGTGTATGGCTGTGTATATTTAATACTCCCCTCCTTCCCAGCCAATCTTTGTGTGTGTGTGTGTGTGTGTGTGTGTGTGTGTGTGTGTGTGTGTGTGTGTGTGTGTGTGAGAGAGACAGAGAGAGAGACAGAGACAGACACAGGAGAGAGAGAGGACAGAGAGAGGAGAGAGAGAAAACAGATTTAATTCTATAAGCTGTTCACTCCATAGAGGAGCTCATTCAAACCCAGGAGGAGGCTTCTTATTATATTTTTATTTAGCACCTTTCTCTCCAAGACGCGTCCCAAGTATTTTGCCCTGTAGTGCTCACAGCATCCTGGCAAGGGAGCAAAAATTGAAGTGGTTTAATCTCCAACGTTTAATATTGAAAGGATAAGGGGGGTGGGGCAGGGAATAGGTGTAGTGTGTATTGCTTCTGTTGGGGAAAATAGGGCAGTAGTATAAATAAGTAGGCTGACAACCTGACAGTGCTAAGATATCATCAGCTGCTTTTTAGTAGAATTCCCTGCAAAGCTATGGTCCTTCCTCTCCTCCAGACAGGGATAATTCAAGTCCTGAGTATACCCATTTTCCATCTGGCAAAAAATGAAACAAAAATGCATACTTCTATTTACTCACATCAGTCATGGCAAAAAACTGAAATCTAAATGCCCCTCTTGAGTTTTAGGGTGACTGAGGGAGAGAGGGAAACAGGAGAGGAAGTATGTCCACTGCGCTCGCCACAAAGTTGTTTAAAAATTTTATTATATTTATGTACTGTCATAAACACGATGCCTAAAAGCATTTTTGTTTTCTCCTTTGCTCTGATAAAGGATTTTCTTCGAAATATTCCCCCAAAGTGTTTTCTCAGCTGATCTCTTCGATGAGTGGGTGTGCATCTCCGATGAAGGCAATGATGAAGAGAAATTAAACAGAGTTAAGAGGTACTCCTCAAAAATGCATATACATAAAGGAGACTCTGCGAATGGAAAAGGATTGTAGTTTATGGGTTTGTCTGCTAACAGAGAGTAGACTTCACTTTTTCAAACACTTGAGAAGCCATTGAAAAATAGATTGAGAGATGGCACTGTCATTGCTGTTGATTTGAGAGCAAGCACCATGGCAAAGCCTCTGGCTGTTTGAATCTGCAAAAGACATAACATATGCGACCAAAATCCATAAGGCTATCAATAATGTAGAAGTCCCATCTTACTGGCTTTCTGATTATCAATAAAGCATACATCTAAACCATCAGATAGAAATGACCTCATCAGCTGACAAGCTTTGTCTTTGCTGAGTCCAGAAAACTAGAAAATTATGAGTTTTAGGATTAGTAACCACCAGAAATTCTCCATCCAAGGGAAAAATCCTGGCCAGACTGGCACACTCATGTCAGCCACTGTGGTGGTGTGGAGAAAGTCGTCTTCCTGAAGGCACATTTTCCAAAGAATGCTTTTCAGTGGTGTGTAACATCTACAAGGATCACTAGTGTGCCTGCATTATGGTTTGTGCTGTTTAGATATGTCTGCTCAGTATAATTTTCTTCTCAGGCATTCTGAAAATTTCAGCATTCGATCACTTACCCACTATCATTTGTAGAAACTCCCTGCTTTAGATCTGAAGCCAATGTCAGGAAAGGGGAAAGACAAAGAATTGGGGGGGGAAAAAGGCTGAAAGTGGGGGTCACTGAATATCACCGAAAACCATGGCCACAAGACAGAAAGTTGGAGGGTGTCCCTGAATCATACAGATCTTTAGAAATCAGCATCCACAGGTTTGCTGTCAGTCACTTAGTTATCTTTTATTGAGGACCTACTGTGTTCCAGGCAGGGCAAGTAGGTGGTGCAGTGGATAGAGTGCCAGGCTTGGAGTCAGGAAGACGCATCTTCCTGTGCTCAAATCTGTCCTCAGACACTTAGTAGCAGCTGTGCGACCACAAGCAAATCATTTAACCCTGTGAACCTCAGTTCCTCATCTGTAAAATGAGCTGGAGAAGGAAATGGCAAACCACTCCACTATATTTGCCAAGAAAACCCAAATGGGGTCACAAAGAGTCAGACAAAACAGAACCACCACCATGTGCCAGGCACTGTGCTAAATGCTGGGAATACAAAGAAAAGCTCTCAAGGATCTCACTACCTAATGAGAAGGCTGAGATGAAAATATTTGGAATTGGATATATAACCTAGATCAGATTGCTTACCATCTCAAGGAGAGGAGAAAGGAGGGAGGGAGGGAGGGAGATAGGAATAGAATTTGGAACTCAAATTTTTTTTTTAAATGTTTAGAATTGTTTTAACATGTAATTAGGGAAAAAATACAATATCATTTTAAAAAAGGAAAAAGACAATACTTGGAGTTGAGAAGTGGGAGAAACAGTAAGGAAGCCAATGTCACTGGATCCTAGGGTACAGAAGGTGTCAGAAGACTGAAAGCAGAGACCAGGGTGGACTGCAGAGCAGGTGATACACCAGGGAAGCCAGTGCCTCCACAATCCAGGCATAGAAAAGTATTTAACCCCATTGATCAAGTTTGGTCCCTAAGATGCCAGCATTCCTTTTGCAGAGAAGACATGTCATCAAGGACTTCTACACTTCCCCTCTGGCCCTAATGACGGTTACCAGTTAGGAAAGCTGGTCCAAATAAACAGACTGATCATGCTCCAGTCCCATTTACAAGTTACATGTATAGAGGTTCAGAATGCTCCCTAGGAAGCTGGATCACAGTTTCCTACCTGGGATATGAAGGCATAGTTAAAGGCCCAGGGTCACAGCACACGAACAGACTCATGTGAGAAAGTGGATCAAGGAAGGGAAGTAACTGTTGCCCAGGCAGATTACAGGAGTTGGAGGAACTAAAGAATGAATTCTTGGGATAATCCTAAGACTATTAATTGGCAAACGCTGGCTCTCACTCACAGATGGCATTCCAATGTTGCTCCCTTGGAAATGAAGTAACACATTAAATTTAATTGCTGTTGAATTTCATCACTAAGCTTTTGCAAATTTTTTGTTAAACCACATTGTACTGGTTTCCGAAAAATATTCCCGGCAGCGTATTTTTACAACACTGACATTCCTGCATTCTTTCACACTTTCATTGGGTTGTGAACACAGCATATGAAAAAGGCACTGCTCTCGTCTTCTTTTTTTTTAAAAAAAAATGTTCATAAACCAAATGGTTTGCTTTAAGAACACCTTTGTTTTCCTCCTCTACTTTTTAGGCTAATGGAGCAGCTTCCTAAAGCCAACATCATTCTCCTAAGGAATGTATTTGAAATGCTGCATAGCATCGAACAGCAGTCTGCGTCCAATCAAATGACAGCTTTTAATCTGGCAGTGTGCATTGCTCCCAGCATGCTTTGGCCACCATATTCTGCCACTCCTCAGCTGGAGAATAAGTTCATTGAAAAGGTACCTTGAGTTTTTCATTCTTCTTTAAGCATCTAAGGACTCTCCCAGTGTTTTTAAAGCTGAGCACCAATTTCTAAAGATTTGGGATATACAGATATAGTCCCTTAAAAGTTGTCATTTAACCAGATAGAATTTAATCTGTAGTTTTTTTCATCCCAGCTTTCCACAAGAAGGTCCAATAGTAATAGCAACGGGTCATTTCTCCCCTTCAAGCTCAGGGCTGTAGAATAGCACCTGAACTCTGAAGAAAAAAGACTCCTATGTCATCTTTCAACATTCATCACTGTGCTTGGTGCTACAGATGCCAGGCTAAAAACAAAGCAGTTCTTGCCCTCAAGGAACTTACATTCTGTAAGGGAAGACATGTATACACAAGTGTATGCAAAATACAGATGTGTAGTCATGTGGAGAGGGAGCAGAGCAACTAGCAGCTGGGAATCAGGTAGGATGTGGCCCTTGAGCTGAGCATTCAAATGGTATTGCTAACAAACTCAGTTGCTATTTCTACATGTTCTCCTAGCTATCCTAGCTATGTGTGAGCTGAGACATAGTCCAAGGGCACACTAAGGAAGCACCATACATACATACGGTCCACAATGAGGGCCAGAGATAGATAGATAGTATCTACATATAATATATTTAAATACACACACACACACATACATACATTCAGAGAGACAGAGAGCCCCACAATAGGGGCCAGATCTAGAGAGACAGACAGATATATATACATATATTCACATATTTTATACACACATATCTACATACATATATATAGAAAAACTGACAAAGAGCCCATAATGGAAGTCAGAGCCAGATATAGATATACACACATACATATACATACATACACACACACACACACACATACATACATAGACAGAGAGCCCATAATGGGGACCAGAGCCTAGCATATAGACATATACACATGTACTCACGCATATATCCAACTGTGTCAGCCCTCTTCAATCAAACTACAGACATCATTCCTTCCCAGGTTTATGATAACCCATTCTCCTTGGTACTAAGGTGAATTAAAATGATTTTTATCTGCTCGGTATTTTACAAACTAATAAGAAATTAATTCATTCCTCTCTTCCTAAAGGTCCGTTAATGTCATCTTAATTTTACATATAAGCCATTAAGGCATTAAGATTAGATTGTATGGAAAGTCTACAATTTCATAGTTTCGAGTCTAAGGATTAAAAACAAAAAGTCGTCTTGAATCCTCTTGTCTCTACTCCATACTCAAGCTATGGCTGAGAAACTTGTGATTTTTTTCTGTCCTCTTTTGTATTTGTGTGAGATAGGGAAGGCATATGTCAAACAAGGTGCACAGACTATGAAAAATGCCATTTCTTTTTTTGCTTTTTCTTTTATAGATCCTTCTCCTTGCCCAATATATCATTGAAAATTGTGGGAGAATATTTGCGGAAGAAGCCACTTCCCTCTTGAGCTATGACAGAGACAATGCCTCAGGTATTATGAATCACTGGATGGTTTTTTCCCCTAATAATATGCCTTATTATATCTGCCAGCTGCTCTACCATCAAGGGGGATTGCAAGCTGCTAAAAGCATGGTGGCTCTGAGACTTTCAAAGGGGCCAAAGACTAGATTGAAGGGCAGAGGAAACTAGGATGGGATTAGGGGAAGCCTAATGGGGGGTGGAATAGGAGTGGGAGGAATGAAATGCTGGTAAGAATGAAAGTTTTTAAAGACAATAAGAAAGGATTCCAACAATAAGAAAGGATTCTCTAGACCTCCAGGACTGGGAAGGAGTCTGAAATACCTAAGAGAGCTTCCCTCCCTGCACACCCCACATTACATCCTGTTCCACATTGCCCAGATGAAACAAATAGGAAAAACAAAACCAAACACCTCTCAGGCCCAAAAAGCCACACAGCTATTGAACCAAATAGACACATGCTTTCTCTTGCTGTTTGTCCATTGCTGCTGACTGGCTTGAAACGTGCGAGAAAAAAATCCAGTCATAAAAGAGACTGAAGAAAAACAAGGCATAAAAGGATATCAGTAAAGGGCAAGGGCAACAGAGAGAATCTGGAGTGGGCAAAGAACAACAGAATAAAAGACAAGTTTGGTGGCGTTTCCTGGGAAGGCTGAACGTAAGATTTGAAAAGGCCTCAGACAGCAAAAGTGAAAATCATTAACGGTCAGTGAGGGGTGGGGAGTATTAAAAGGGAAGAACTGAGGAAATGAAAAATGACTTTACTAATCACCTTGATTTGCTTGCTTCCCTACTATATACAGAGGAGACCACACTAATCCAGGAATCAGAATCAGCCAATCAGGAAACAGTTAGAGATCCTTCTCAGGGTTCCATTGCTACACCTGAAACTCCCTCTGCTGTGCTGGAAACCACAGAACTGACTTAAGCTGGTTCATACCAGCTCTCAAGGACACAAGTAGCACAAGCATCCTAGTTCCAGGACCTGGGGAACTTTTCAGCCCGACCCTCTTCCTGGCTGGCTCCTTGTGGGCAGTCTCACGATCTCTGTGAAATGGCCCCTTCCTGGGAACAGAAAACTGAACCCAAGAGACTGTGGCAGTACCTGATTGGGCCACTACCCTGCCTTTCCCACCCAGCTTTGCAGCTTCTTTTTCTCTTTATCATCTGTACCACCTAACCTCAGCTCCAACCACAGCTCTGCATGCATGCCCACCACTTTGACAAAAAAATAAACATGCATACAGCCTAATTCTGTTTGTCTTAGAATAAACTCTGCAGGTTGACAAGAACATTGAACGCCTTGGGCAGAAGATGAGTGGAATGGGAGGGAGACAGTCCTAGTGGACCTAATGGTTTTTCAAGAAAAATATGGGGCAGCTAGGTGACTCAGTGGATAGAGTGCCGGCCCTGGGTTCAGGAGGACACGAGTTCCAATCTGCCTTCAGACACATACTAGCTGTGTGACCCTGGGCAAGTCACTTAACCCCACTGCCTAACGGCCTCCCCCCACCCCAAAAGCAAAGAAAATGAAATACTTAATGGCTAACCACTTCTATGTATTATTATGAGTTAGAACTTAAAACACATTTGGAAATGTGGAATGAGTTGTTAAGTGTGAACTATCTTGAGTAGTTTCCTTTCCCCAATAGCCCCTCCCCCATTACAAATTAATGCCCCTAACAAAAACAAAACTCAACTAAGTATCAGCCATAAGGTTTCACTGGATTTGGAAAACCATAGCCAACCCAAAAATTAGGACATGATTTTTTTTTACCTTATCATGTAAACACAATTTTTAACATTCATTTCTTAAAAAATGTTCAGTTCCAAATTCTCTCCTCCTCCCCCTTCAGAAGGCAAGAAATTTGATATGGATTGTACATGTGCAGTTACGCAAAACATGTTGCAAAAGAAAACAGATTTCAAAACCCAAGAATAACAAAGTCTAAAAAGTATGCTTTCACCTGCTCTCAAACGCCACCAGTTTTGGCTCTGGAGGTAGACAGCATTTTTCATCATGAGTCCTTCAGAAGTGTCTTGGATCATTGTCTTGCTAAGCAGAACGAAGTCATTCAAGGTTGATATTTCTATCACTGTGTACAGTGTTTTCCTGGTTCTGCTCACTTCACTTTGCATCAGTTCATGTAATTTTTTCCAGGTTTTTCTGAGAGATCCCACTTGTTTTCTCCTACAGCACAATAGTATTCCATCACAATCATATTCTATAACTTGTTCAGCCATTCCCATTGATGGGCATCCCTTCAATTTCCAATTCTTCATCACCATAAGAACTGCTATTCATATTTTTTTAATGTATAGGTCCTTTTCCTTTTTTATCTCTTTTGGGATACAGTAATAGTATTGCTGGGTCAAACGGTATATAGAGTTCTATAGATGTTTGCGTATAGCTCCACACTGCTCTCCAGAATGGTTGGATCAGTTCACAAATCCACCAGCACTATATTAGTGTCCTAATTATCCCACATCCCCTCCAGAATGTGTCATTATTCTTTTCTGTCACATTAGCCAATCTGATTGATAGGTGTTTGATGGGACCTCAGAGTTGTCTTAATTTATATTTCTCTAATCATTAGTGATTTACAGCATTTTTCCTATAGCTATATAGACCTAGATATAGATCTATATAGCTATCTCTATCTATAGGTACCTACATATACAGCTGTGTGTGTGTTACAGATAGGTTTTTTTTCTGAAAAAAACCCTGTTCATACTTTTTTCCTCATTTATCAACTAGGGAATGAACTATATTCTTCTATATTTGACTCAGTTCTCTATATATTTGAGAAATGAGGCCTTTATCAGAGAAACTCGGCAGATATTTTTCCCTTCCTGCTTTCTTTCCAATCCTGGCTTCACTGGTTTGTTCAAAACATTTTAATTTAATGTAACAAAAAATTATCCATTTTACATCCAGTAATGCTCACTCTTTTGTTCTGTCATAAATTCTTCCCTTATCCATAGCTTTAACAAGTAAAATATTCCATCCTCCCTTGATTTGCTTATCTCACATCACCTTTTATGTCTAATCTTGGTAGATGGTGTGAGATGCTGGTCTGTGCTGTGCCTGTTATCTGTCAAAATGCTTTCCAATTTTGCCAGAAACTTTTTGTCAAATTTTGAGTTGTGACATATTTTTTTTAAAGTTATATCACGTTAAAGGCTTGGGAGTATAAATAAGCCATTTCCTAACCCTGTACATTGCTATAAAGTTTAACTGCTACCATGAGCTGTGAGCTTGAGAACATTTTGATGTGGTTTGCGAGTTCTATTAAAATGTGCTCATGTCCCATGAAGGAAAAGGTGCCCCTAGTGCTATAGGAGAGCTTTAAAGACCTCGCCTGTTCCGATAACATACCCCTGCCCTTCTCAGACTCAGCTGCCAATTTGTGACCTGGAGGCAGCATATTTGATATATTGATATCGGCAACTTGATATGTTGATATATTGAAATAGCACTGCTCTTGGACTTAGAAGGCCTTCGTTCTAGTCATGGTTCCATTTACTAACTTTGTGAGTTGCATATAGTCATTTAAACTCTCTGAGATTCACTTTCCTCAGGGACAAAACACCCACTTCATGGAGTTACTGTTGAGAATTTAACCTTGTCTTCAAGCATCTGATGAGCTATCTTGGAGAAGAAGGATTAGATTTGTTCTGCCTGGCCTCAGAGGACAAAACAAGGAGTAATGAGTGCAAATTACAGAGGGACAGAGTCAGACTTGATGTACGGAAAAACTTCCTAATAATTAGATCTAAGAGTGGAATGTGCTGCCTCAGGAGGTCGTGAGTTCCCCTTTCTGGAGGTTTCCTAGATTAGAGGAATACTTGTCAGGAATACAGAAGAGTGAATTCCTGTTCAGGTTGGGCTAAGTGTTTTCTGAGGTCCCTTTCAACTCAGAGATTCTGTGACATAAAAATGTAAGCTACTTTGCATGTGTAGGCCACTTCCCAGAAGCATGAAGAATCTCTCTCACCACCTTGTTACATGCTCCCCTCCCATTCTCCAAAACACAGCAGGCCCAGAAAGCTAAAACAGCTCCTTATGAGAGCTAACTCAGGACACTTAGACAAATGGTGACGAAGCACATAGGCCAGGGCACCTTTCTATTGTGTCTTTACATCCAGGACTGTGTTTATTTTCATTTTTATAAACTCCAGCAAAACAAGAAAATGAAATAGAAGCATATTGTTCTGAAAATTTCAGTTATGTGGCAAAATAAAGATTAACAAAATGTTTGGGGAGGTGGAGCCGAGATGGCACAACAGCAGGAAGGACTACAGCAAGTTCCCTCTCCTCACCTCCCCCACCTCAAAAAAAAATTTGAGAAAAAAACTCCTTCAAACAGATCTAGTAAATGAACCAACGTGAATTCTGATGGGAAAATCCATTAAAAAGGGAGTCACTTTTCATCCCAGATCGACAGAGGGAAAGAGACAGTGAGGTCTACAAATATTGGGGAGGTCTGGTCAGAACCTACCACATGGACCACTCTAATGCAGGCAGAGGCTGTGCAAAGGGCAATAAAAGGTCCCAGACCCAAACCACACTGAGGCATGCCCAGGTACATACATAATGGGGCACTGCCATGAAAACAGATGCCAACTGGTATACACACACACACACACATATATACACCTATACATATATATGCATATATCTAGATAGATATAAATACATACACATATATAGATATATATCTACATACACACATACTGAAAATGACAAGAGAGCCCATAATGGGAACCAAAGTCAGATACAGACAGAGAGACAGATACACATATACATACATACATACATACATACATACATACACACACAGACACACACATAACCCCCTCCTTAGCTACGCAGGTAAGAAAGATTGCTTTCAACTGTCTCTACCCCTTCAACCAAACTACAGACATTATTCCCCCATAGGTTTGTGATAACCCATTCTCCCTGGTACTAAGGTAAATGAATTAATTCCTATCTTTTGATTCCGAAGTACAGTAATGTCATCTTAATTTTATAGGTACAGATACTAAGGCATCAAGGTTAGATCTTATGGAAAGTCAGTTCATAGTTTCAGACATTAAATTGAAAAGTTTTTGCACAAACAAAGCCAATGCAACTAAGATTAGAAGGAAGGTAGAAAATTGGGAAAGAATTTTTACAACCAGTCTTCCTGATAAAGGCCTCATTTCTAAAATATATAGAGAATTAAGACAAATTTATAAGAACACAAGCCATTCCCCAATTGATAAATGGTCAAAGGATATGAACAGACAGTTCTCAGATGAAGAAATTAAAGCCATCTATAGTCATATGAAAAAATGCTCTAAATCGTTATTGATTAGAGAAATGCAAATCAAAACAACTCTGAGGTGCCACATCACACCTATCAGATTGGCCAACATGACAAAACAGAAAAATGATAAATGTTGGAGAAGATGTGGGAAAATTGGAACACTGGTTCATTGTTGGTGGAGTTGTGAAATGATCCAATCATTTTGGAGAACAATTTGGAACTATGCCCAAAGGGCTACAAAAATGTGCATACCCTTTGATCCAGCAATAGCACTTCTAGGGCTATATCCCAAAGAGATCAAACAAATGGGAAAAGGACCCACATGTACAAAAATATTCATAGCAGCTCTTTTTGTGGTGGCAAAGAATTGGAAATTGAGAAGATGCCCATCAATTGGGGAATGGGTGAGCAAGTTGTGGTATATGAATGTAATGGAATACTATTGTGCTATAAGAAATGATGAACAGGCTGACTTCAGCAAAACCTGGAAAGATTTATGTGGTCTGATGGTGAGTGAAGTGAGCAGAACCAAGAGGAGTTTGCACACAATAACAGCCACATTATGCAATGACTAAGATTGTTAAACTGAACCCTTCTCAGCATTTTGAGGATCTAAGGCATCTCCAGAGGCCTCGGAATGAAAATACTGTCCACATCCAAAGAAAGAACTATGGAATTCGAATTGCTGTCACTTATTTTACCTTCTGTTGAGTTTTGTTTCATCTTTCTGATGGTTCGTCTTATTGGTTTTAATTTTTACTTACAATTTCACTGATGTGAAAATATATTTAATGGGTATCTAAATGTAAACCCTATATCAGATTGTGCGCCATCTTGGGGAGGGTGGGGGGGAATAAAAGGGAGAAAAATTTTCAACTCAAAAGCATATGGAAAAAATAAAAAAAGACAGGTGGGTGGGCATTGTTTGAACCTTACTCTCATTAGATTTGGCTCAAGAAGGGAATAACATAATCAGTTAGGTATAGAAATATAACTTGCCATATAGGCAGTAGAAGGGAAAATGGAAAAGAAAAGGGAGGGGCATAGAAGGGAGGGAGGAAGCAGTAAGGCTAAAGGTTGAGAAAAGGGAAAGGGAGGGAAGGACTGAGGGAGGCGATGGTCAAAAGCAAAACACTAGTGAATAATTTTTACTTACAACCTCAGTAATGTGAAAATATGTGTTTAATAGGAACTTAAGTGTATAGCCTATATCAGATTGTGTGCTGTCTTGGGAAGGGTAGTGGGGAGGAAGGGGGAGAAAAATTTTAAACTCAAAAGCATATGGAAGTGATTGTTGATAAATCAAAATAAATTAATAAAATGGAAAAACAACTGACATGGAAAAAAATTGAGAATATAAAAGGAAATAATGAAGAAAAAAACTGTAAAGAAAGAAGGTTTAGCAGTACCAGATCTTATACTACATATCAAGTCAGTAATTCTCAAGGCTATCTGGAACTGGCTTAGAAATAGAAAGGTAGATTAATGGAATAGAGTAGACATACAATTTGTAGCAGTTAATAAACATAACAACATTGTATTTGACAAGTGTAAAGAAAAGATTTTGGGGTAAGAACTCATTATTTGGTAAAAACGGTAAGGAAAACTAGAAAGCAGTATGGCAGAAATGAGACATAGACCAATATGTTACACCATTTACCAAGTTAAGGTCAAAATGGATTCATGATCTAGATATAAAGAGATATTTTACAAGAAAATCAGAAGAACATATTACTTATTAGACTTATGGATAGGCAAACAATTTATGAGTAAACAAGAGATGGAGAAAAAAGTTAGGTATAAAATGAAAATTTTCTATTACATCAAATTAAAAAGTTTTCACGCAAATAAAACAAATA